TATACCTAATAATTGGTACATTTGAGAATGTTCTTCATCTCTCAGCTCAGTTGAACTCAGCCTTCATCTCTTTACCTGTGAGCAATGAAATATTTTGTCACCAAGATAAGTGCTTCTCATTTACACTGTGCATGCAAAGATCACTTTTGGGGACTCTGGCTTCACTAGAACCACTCACTCCTTTAGGCCACACACACACACATGTGCCTCCTCCAGTGAATATTGCAAGACCAGTGGTATCTATCTTGAAATATTTTGTTCTTGATGGTGCACCTCTCCTTTCCTCTTCTTCATGGATTATCAGTCTCCACAATAGGTGATTATTGGATGGCCTTGTCAACTATATTTTGCCTTTTCTGTCATTGTCAAGTGTTTTCTTCTCCTGTCCCCTCCACTCTTTTTCCAATCCTTCCTTCATCACAAACCTCCTTGTCTGATTCCCATGCCTGACTGGGTCCTTAATGTGGATTACACACTGTCATATGTGCCTCCTGTTCTTTGTACCATCTTTCACTGAATACATACTTCCTTTTCCTTCTTTTTTGTGGTCAGCATCCTTTCCATATATATGCCATCAATTCTTCTCGCAAACTCTTTCAACATACATATTTACTTCTCTACCCAGACTGGGCATTTCTTCCCAAGACTTTGGCTGCTGAGGAAGATGATCCTTTTTTCTCTTCTATCTCTTACTTCTATGCTTGTTCAGACCCAGGTTGTCAGTTGTGCCTCCTTTGAGCTATGTTGTTATTTGGCACAAACATCTTTTCTGAATTCCCATCATTGTTTCTGCCTTAAGACCCATCTTCATTCAGGGACCTATTGCCTTCTACCCACACTGGATGGGTCCACCAATTTCTGTGGTTGGTGTATTCTTCCCTGGATATTGATGCTTACAGGCTTTTTCACATTTTGTCTCATCTAATTCTTTTACCTGTTTCACTCTCTTGTGTCTCATATTTGTCAATCCTTGGACGAAATCCTTCAGGCATGTGGATGAATCTGCACATGTCTGTCTCGCATTGTCTTAATCTTTTGTCTGTTTCCAGCCAGATTTCAACTCCTTCTGGCTACTGTTCATCACTCTCTTTCCTCTTATAGAATCCTGCCAGATGGTTGGTGTTGCCTCCCAGGGTATGTTTATTTCTTAAAATCTGCATTGGGCCAGTGGTAATGGAAAGCGATCAACCCACCTGCTCTGGCTCTACCAGTTTCCATGGTTCGGATGGGGTATTTTGCAAGACTATTAGAGGTATTCTCATGATATTAATTTACCCAATTGTCCATTCCATATTGTACCACTCCATGGACTATCATAGAAAAAGCTGGCACCAATAAAGTGACTGCCCATTTCTTTGGCTTGCACTTGCTGGCTTTTCAAAGTAGGGTTTTGCAATCACTTATTTCACTGTCTCTAGTAAAAGACCTTTCTAGCAGAAGTCCAATGTCCAAACACTTCTGTGGGTCTCCCCTCCTTCTTTAAGTGGAGCACAGGAGACCTTTGCTAAGTACCAGTTCATAGCTGCTTGGGGTGGTGGACCTAGGAGAGTTCCTCACTGATTCTATATAGCATAATACAGTTGGAAGTAGGGTGGTGATAGCACTGTCTGTGTAGTGAAGGTCGTCTTTCAAACAGCTAATGTACTCTCCTCCTGCAATGGGATGGGTTTGTCTCCCCTGTCCAGTTGTATTTATGTGATGAGGTGAAACACAAACAGTATGGTTTTATTGTCCCCCATTTACACTACACTTCTTGGCCCATCAACCACCTGTGTGCAGATGCTTGGTTGGTGATGCAAAAGATCTGCCTATTCCTGCAAAGCTTGTGGTTCTTTTGCCTTTCTCTCTCTCCCTTACAGCTGAATAGCATACCCTGGTTGAGACTAGAGTGTATCCCTATGTAGCTCCTGCCATCTGGTGTCACAGCCTGTGGGCTTTCCCTTCAAGAGCTTTATGAAGGTAGCACATCTAGGTTTGATCTTTGCATTGGCCCCTCCATCATTTCAATGTGGGATTTTTGCTGTTCTGTGTGAAGAGGTGAGGTATCATCTCAGAAGTTAACATTTTACTTGATTGAAAATGTATTTCTGATAGATACCTGGTGCACTTTCTTCTTACTTCATCAAACATTGAAGTTATTTCTAGTTCAAGTGCTAAGAGGGTTTTACTGTGCAAGGAGGCAATTTTGCCCTCCTATTGGTAGATTGCTATTGTCACATGATGATGATGTTATCATGTACTAGTGCAGTTCTCATGAAACACATGGTTTTTAAGTGGGAGTTAGCTCAAGGCTAGTGGCTTGCGAATCTCTTGGACAGATGTATGACAAATCAAACTATTCTATGTGTGGAGGTGAAGAATAATATTAGCATTGAGTGTACAAAACAAGAAGTGCATATGGATTTTTACTAAAAGAACTATAAAACAAAGATAAGTTCTTAATCAAAAATACCTTTCTAATAAAAAATATAACTCACAACTATTTAACTGTTATAAGCATTCCTAAATGGCTAAATTAAAAAAAATGTTTTAGTATTATCATATAATAAACAAACAATTTTATTTAGCAATCAGTTAAGTTAATTCTGCCATCTAGTGTAATCACAATTATTCAGGTATTGGTTAAGGCCTTAACGGATTGTTGTAAACTCCAGCTGTGTTTGTTTCATAAAATCTCAATTTTTTTTTATGGTAATTAATAGCCTTATAAAATAAAAGCACTGACGTCTAATGTTTCTTTTTGATGCTATATGGTAATCTAAGGACTTTTGGCTATTTTTTATTTATTTCTGGAAAGAATGGATGGGAAGATCAGACTCTCTATATCTGTGTCTACTTACACAGCGTTAAATAATGCAATCATTGCAAAAATGTATGGATGGAGTTCAGCCTCCTTACCCTTTTCCTTAAATCCATGTTTGTTTATACAACATTAAAGAATAGTTACTAATTTCTGGAAAAAAAATGGATAGGGGGTGCAGACTTCCTGGACCTCTCACCTATATCTGTACCAGCTCACACAAAATTAAAGAATTATAGTTATCCAATTGTAGTTTAGAAACATACAATTTAAAAACAAACTGTAAATTTACACTTTATTTAACTCTTAAATAGCCAGGATGCTGCATCTAGTTGCCTTCCCTCTGATCAGCATTTCAAATTAGTAACAGTGGCAGATAGCCTCAGTAGCTTTGTAATGTGGCCTTTTCTGGAATTGTCTACAACATTGTATTCATACTTGACAGTCAATAATGTTCACCATCCAGGAGAAAATGGATTTTATTGTAATTTTAGTTTAAAAATGAGCTATTGTCACAGCATTACATCACAGAGTAGATTTATTTGTAGACACAGTTATCAATTAAAATGCCTTGCTTTTCTGTTGCAACACTCATGAGATTTTCACTAAAAAAAACAAATAATTTTTTTAAGATTTGTTTTTTTTTAAACTTGCTCCTTTTTTTTTGTAATTTTTATTGGTTAAATCTGAAACATATCATTTTTGTGGAAATTTTAATTGTTTTATTTATTGCTCAGCTATAAAGATACTGCCTAGTTATAAAAATATTACCCAGTTATGATTGGTGATGATCAGTGTGGTATTTTCTAAGATCTGAGTTTGAACATATGCATTGCAAGCTCTATTTTAATAAGATGACAATCAATTTAATTGTAATTTTGATTGGTGTGTTGTTGGAGTAATCAAAAATGTTAATAATTGCAACAGTTAATTTTGATTAATTGATTGTTGGAATAATCTGAAACACTAATTTCAATTAGTTTATTATTTTTGTGACATTAATTGATTAATTTACAGGACATTAATCAATGTAATTACTGTTCATGGATAATTTATTAATTTGCCTAGCTTTAACCACAAGTTGAATTGATATATATATATATATATGCTTAAAAACTGAATACATATTTAATACAAGATTTTTCAGGTATCAGGATAAAATATTTGTATAAATATCCTAAACGTTTTTAGTTCATATTGGATCTATTTGCTTCTTTCAAATTTGAAGTCAGTCGTTTTCCAGCATTAAGAATTATGTGCTACATGAAATTAATGAACATATACCACGTTCATCCTATCCCAGCTTGATGAAACCTGGCATTAGGTGAAAAGCATTGTTAGCACCGGGTGTGACAGATTTATACATTTATTTATCTTCAATCATAAGGTCTTAGAATTAATAATACAGTCTTGTTGCTGGACCCACTCCAGGAACAATAAGACTTAACTTGCTGGTTTAACAGTTATTCTGAATGATAAATGAAGTTAATTCAAGTACAAATAAATATAATAATGAATAACTGATGTTAAAACAAATGCGTAATATAATGTTATCAAGCCTGACCATAATTCTGATTTGTAAAGGACTAATATCAAATTGATAAAAATTACAATCAACCAACTTAATCTAGTTCACACTGGATATAGCAGATAATAGTGTGGCTGGCTTATGTTAGACATTCATCTTTACTTTCATTCAGTTCAGAATAAAGCAAATAATGCTAGAGATTGTGCATAAATGAATGGGTTCATGCTGTTCATTTGTAATAAACTCTATACGATACACTTCTTTATAAATCATATTGTTAAAAATCATTGTTTAATCTCATAATGAACAGATTAACATTTAAAAATGTTACCGGTTCTGTAAAATTTAACGAGCTAATAGTTTATTACATTTTTTTGTAATAAGGAAGAAAAATTATTACAAGATGAAAGAAATAATAAATTTTTAGGGTAAGAAAATATATATATGTATATATAGCTGCATGATAATTTTCTTGTGTTAAGTTATACATATAAGCTTAAAAATAAACCTATTATTATAATACTAATTAATCCTTAAAAGAATTTTCATACAAACTACATTTCTCTCTATAAATTGTTTTGGAACTCTGAAGATTTTTGCTTGAATACAAAAAAAACCCAACCCATTCTGTTTCTTAGCATTAGATTTCTAGATTTGTTTTTACTTTTCTAGGGAAGATTGGAAGCCTGTATTAACCATCAACTCAATAGTGTATGGTTTACAATATTTATTTTTGGTAAGTAATTTTTTTTGTTGTTGTTGTTGTTGCATCTATATAAAAGTTTAACTTTATAAAAGAAAGTAATAGAGCTTCTCTTTTTGAATCATTTGAATATTCGTAAGAGATTAAAGTTAGTTCTAATGAGATTATGCATGCTTAAATATGATATTTTTATAGGGTCAGCTTGTTATTACATTTCTAAAAACTGGGAGGACAAAAACTAGGTTCTAAACCTCTGTATGTGTTCCAATTGAGAACACATGGTTATTTGGCATTTTTATACAGAGAACACATGGTTATTTGGCATTTTTATACAGAGAACACATGGTTATTTGGCATTTTTATACAGAGAACACATGGTTATTTGGCATTTTTATACAGAGAACACATGGTTATTTGGCATTTTTATACAGAGAACACATGGTTATTTGACATATTCATACAGAGAACACATGGTTATTTGACATATTTATACAGAGAAGACATGGTTATTTGGCATTTTTATACAGAGAAGACATGGTTATT